AAACACTGCAGCTGAACTATCACATTCTCAAACCATAACTCTTAACAGAAAACACCTTGGAACTCAGGTTATTCACAATTCACAAGCCATCTTTCTCCTGATTCTTGAAGTTTGGGTATGAACTTGATGACCCATATGGCCTCTCTTACGTGCCGCAGCGGCATATTTGCATCTCTGAAGTAACTACGTCAAAAATAAAACAACTGGTGATCAATTGTGAACATTAAAGCTATAAGTTTGCCTGAAATGCATGGTGATACAAGTTTTACCGAAAATTTTGGTTTAGTTTAACACCACCCATTTTTTTACCAAAAAAAAAAAAAACGCAAATATAACATTTTACTGAAGTCTAATAATAATTAATATATCAACTTGTTCAATTTATTTAACACAAAACATCGTGTCCAACACTCTCTTAGTTTTCACCTCCATAGAGGGATAGTTCTTGTTTTCATATTTTTAGCTTAATTCACTTTTCATCGGATAACCCAAAAAAGTTAAAATATGTGTCATATGCTTAAAATTAATACTAAATTTTATATCCTCTCGCTCTTACTCTAATTTATAAAATCAACAGATAATAAAATCATGCCTTTTTTTTTCAAGGACTATATATATATATATATATATATATATATATATATATATATATATAAAATAATTTATGCAGCCGCTGCACCTACAGCTAGCCAGGATTCGCGCGAGGATTCTAGGATACGGCACCGGATCCTTGTTTTTTTTTTTTTTTAACGCCATGGGGCCCACTTTTCTGTGTCAGCTGTAGAGAGTGATATCTACGACGGCTGCAGAAATGGTAAGCCCATATATATATATATATATATATATATATATATATATATATATATATATATATATATATATATATATAGTGGCGGAGGCGGACTTCAATTTGAGCCTGAGCCAAAAAATTATATATGTATTTATTTTTCTTAATTTTAGTTAGTTCATATTATAATATATTTAAATTATATTAAATATAGAACACCTGAGCAAGTAGTACTAAGAAAAATTATAATTTTGTTAAATATTATTAATTTTATTAAAATTAATTAATTTATTTTATACAAGTGGAAATTAGACATATAATCTAATACAATTTACCCAAATCTTTTACCAAAAATATTTTAAGTTTTACATAGGGCCAAATTATAAATTGTATCCAGCCAAATTATAATTAATTATATAATTATATATAATAAGTACAATTTGTTAAAATTTAACCCAGGCCGGGACCACATCCACGCTATACGTGGCTCCACCAGTATATATATATGGAAAAAATATTTGTCCTTTTAAAGGATATAACTTTGTGACATTTTAGATCCTAATCGTTGATTTTCGTCAATCAACTGTTAAGATTTATTGGGTCAAATTTATAAATTAATTAGTAATAATTCACAATAAAATTCAATAAATCCTAACAATTGATTAACGGAAATCAACGGTTAGGATCTAAAGTGACAAGAAATTATATCTTTTAAAAAGATAAATATTTTCTCCAATATATATATATATATATATATATTTATATATATATATACATATATTTGAAAAATGTGAATGTCATGTTGCATGACACATATTGTGTCATGCCATAAACACAAAAATGTGAGATTAACATGTTTATTTTTTCAATGGGACTCACATTTTTTAATTTGTGTCTATGGCATGACACAAGATGTGTCATGCAACATGACACACACACATATTTTATTACTTATTATGTCACATGACATAAAGTTATGTTATGTCATTTCAAAACTACATCGTTTTAGGAGTTTGGGGAATTAATTTAGGGTGTTTTGGCAAAATTCATATAATAATGAAATAAATAAAATAACCACACACACATACACACATATATAAAGGTTATACTTACAATCATTTTTCAACTTATTATCTTATTACCTGTTTGGTTATTGTTGGATCAATTTGAAATCAATGACAACTATTTTTTTTTCTCTTTTTCAACAATTGATTTCAAATTAATCCAACAATAACCAAACAGGTAGTAAGAGTAGTAAGGCTAAAATAATAGTATATATATATATATATATATATATATATATATATATATATATATATATATTTAACTAGTTATCTTTTCTACTCATTTTTTTAATTTTATTTGAAATAAGTTTTGTACTTGATTACTTATTAAATATATATTTTTTTGAATATCCATGCTGGTCTAGTCCGATTCGAACATTTTCAATCTATATTGAGGCGATTCTTACAACACTATTTTTCTTATTTTTTCGAACTCAAAACCTTTAGTGGAACAAACTTTTTGTCACTTGAATTATTGATTGTTGATTTAGTTATAAAATATTAATAGTGTGTTTACTGTAAAAGAAAAGATTTTATTTAAAAATCATAATATATACTGCTTTAATTTGAATATAATCATTATCATGCTTATTGAATTTTGGTCCGAAATAATACTCCAGTCTTGTTACAATTGTGAGATTTCTATGATGCATTGATTGCCAAATGCAATTGGATGCCCAGGTCAAAAAGTGTGCAGAATGATGAGAATATAAGAGACTGTGTCTATTTACCAAAAAAAAAAAGAGACTGTGTCTAATATAACTAGTGAATATGGAACAATTTTTATATGATTATGTTGGTTTTTTTTTTTCATGTTGTTGCAATTTTTTTTTTTGCACTAACAGCTTATAACTATATATTTCGAAAAATATATGATTATAATCTTATAATTTTTCGAAAATTATTTGCCGACGATGAGAGAGAAAAAAATAATTTTTCGATTAAAATTATGTAATCCCGGTTATATTCGGTTGCTGCAATTTGCAGCAATGAAGAAGTACATTTTCCCATTATGTTATTGTGATAGGAGACCATACTAGATAAAAGGGAAATGTTTGTAATTGATGAAGAAAGAGACTTTCCTTAACTATAGGCTTCAGTTTGAACACCTATTAAATTCTTGACCATTTCAATGCTGGAAGTTTCATAGCTTTTAAGGAACTTAAAAATAAAATTTGAAAATAATGTTGATCTCCTATTGTAAAAGCATCCATTGGCCGATGTGGTCTCGAATTCCGGCTTAATTTTATTTTAAATTTAATTTCTGAAAACGTACTCTATCGCTCGAAATCAAATTAATTGAGTAATTAATTAATAGATAGATAGTATATATATATATATATATATATATATATATATATATATATATATGAGATTAAAATTTCTGCTGTAATTTTAGATCGATATATCTACTGTGCACTTAAACGTCACCGTTTTCGTCTTTTTTTAATTAAAACATCGTGCTTCCGTCTTCTTTACATATTGCTATTTTTTCTTGCGCTTCCTTACCTATCGTGCTTCCATCTTCTTTGCAACAATAGCGTCCTTGCAGAATTCTCCTACACTCCACCAAACCCTCTTTCACAACTCTTCTGTCCAGGCTTTTCGTTCATTATCAAAGTTGCCCAAGAACCTCCAGCTTCTTTAACTGGGTTGCTTTCTCAAGGTTTGTTATTTTTTTTTTGTTTTTCGGTCTCTTAAGCTTGAATTAAACCAAATTAAAGCATAAGAGACTACCATTGTTGCAAAGAAGACGGAAGCACTATAGGTACAGCGATATGTGAAGAAGACGGAAGCACGATGTTTTAATTAAAAAAAGGATGAAAACGGCGACGTTTAAGTGCGCAGCAGATATGTTTATCTAAAGTTACAGCAGATACTTTAATCCCTATATATATATAAAAAAAAAAAATCATCGACCTATCATTTCAATCGTCAAAATCCGTATATCATGTGTGTTCCTATATTCAAATCTTGCATCAAGTAAATTCTTAAAAAATCTTTGGAGTTCAGAGGACATGTCTCTTTTCTTGAATGAGGGATTAGTCTCATCCTTCTTTCGGTAGTGAAACTCAATGCACTCGCTGTTCCAATGAAAGGATAGCCTTCAAAGGACAAGGTGACCATAAGAGGTTGTGACCAGAGGAGATTGAATGAAGATACCTCCAAGTTATAATAATAATAATAAAAATAATAATAATCAACGAATTCCTATACTTCATTAAAAATATTAAATGAAATACAAATACATTTTTATCTACAAAATATATTTAGTAATTAAGAAAAGGGATAAACAAGAATCATGTTACACGTAAAAAATTGGTGTCATGCAATCACTATAGACAAAATAAAATTATTGAATACAGTGCCACTTCAAGTTTTTATTATTATTTGATTTGTCGTTACTTTTCTAGGAAATTTTTTTTTGACCCTGTTACATGACAAATCGAAAGCCCGAAAAGAAAATATGGAAGTATTCATGATATTACTGTGTCCAAAATAATAATAAGACTCAACCTTGTAGAGTGTTTGGAGAAACATTCGAAAATTTAATTTTGCATAAGCTTAATTTTATAAAATTAATTTTAATTAAAAATAAATTAATTCATATGTAGATATATTTATCTGAAAAATAGTTTATGTAAAATTAATATTGGTTTATTATTCTAAATCCCAAATACAACCGCCTCGGTGGTAATGGCAGTGGCACTGCCCTTAATGGGATTTTAAGCGCAAATTCCCAACCAAGTGAAAGTGATCCAACAACCATCACATCATGGAAGAGACAATCAAGTACCCTAAATAGATACTTGTTAAATACATGGAAGAACTCATATTTAACCCCATCATGGAAAACGACACATTTACAGTTGGCAAGGTGAGAGCAATCGTGGGAATAATAGGGTTTAGCATTTATGCTTTTATGGCAGAAGATATATGGCTGAAGATATACAGCAAAAGCATAAATATTTTTCCCAAATAATAGGAGGAATGAAATGTAAATGCAAGATTAAAAATCCTACATATTGTTAACCTTCCCTAAAATTCAACCTAAAAATAAAACCAAGAATAAATTCCTGTAATCCAATCAAGTTAGAAGCCAATAAGAGAACAAGATCAAGAAAATAGAAAAAATTACGAAGGCTGGTTCAACAAGATCTTTTGTTGCTGAAAGTTTGGAGTTGGCTAATTAATTCTTCATCGATCTTCACAGGAAGACGTGGCATTTTCTTCATTACCTCTGACATGTCATTAAAACTGCGATGAAAATAAAAGAGAATTTTTTTACTTTGAGTCAAATTGGAAAAAATTAACAAAAGTAATTCTTAGAACAGTTAAAAGCACTGTTATTGTATATGTCAACAGAAAACATATTCACCACTCAAGATCCAAGGTTGGGGAAAACAAGAATATTCGATTTAATTCAGTTGTTAGTTAAAGGCAAAATTTCACCAAAAAAAAAAAAAAAAGTTTTTGTATTCCATAAAATTTCACACTGCTGGAAACGTAGGAGCAAAAATGCTCCAAGAGACTTAAGAACAGTCAGAAGCAGGAAACTTTGGATAATATGCTATGGCAACTTGTTACTTGTTAGAGATGTAACATAAAAAACCATTCATGTGTCTTCACCTAACAAGTTAATTTTTCTGGTAGTTGATTCTTAACATGATATAAAAGTCTGTATAACCAAATGATCAGGAGTTAAATCCTAAATCCTCTCATTCTCTTTTTTTTTTTTTTTTTTTAAGTTAAATTTTAACAAAAGATAGGTGGGCTTATAAATTATCTGTCTTATGCCCAAAAAAACTCTTCCCCAAAGGGTTCTATTAGACAACCAATTCGTGTGCATTCAAATAACAACTTTTAAGTTTTTAGGATATTATTAGTTCTTACAGTAGATATACACAGAAAGCAACATTTTCCCTACTAATTGAGACTTAGAAGGAGATTTAATGAACTGTTATTTTTCACCTTAGTTTTCCTATTGATCGAGTTAACGATTTTCTGTCATTCACATACCACAACATAAAAAGAAAAACAAATATATCACATGTATAACCCCTATGCATTCTTATAAATGTGATATTTATAAACAAAATAAAAATAGAAAATTATAACTTACTTGTTCAAAATTTTATAAATGTTATCTCTGGTTTGGCAGAAAAGTTTGATGTTATCCTGATACTGAAAACAAAAAGGAAAAAACAGAAAAAGTTATAAATCAGCATCACAGCCACCAAAAATGGCTTAAGAAGGCAGAAGATATAGATATAAACTAGAAAACAAGTTTTAAAACATTAAACTACAATACAGCTATCAAAGACATCATAAAATACCCCACCCGCAGTCAGTTCTTCAGTTTTCAACAACCTCAAATACATCTATATCATGTTGTTGACTAAATTTGAACATGATGCAAAATCAAAACATAAAGTGGGGAAAAATTCAGTAAGTATACAAAATGCCAGTGTTAAACATAGAATGCCTAAAGCTTCCCTTTTATTCCATTAATTCATCAAACATAATAAATTGATTGTTGGAACTGTCCCAACTCCCAACATAAGTTTATGAATGTTATTCAAATTCTGTTGAAATCAGGTAACGAAACCTTAATCCTGGACTGGTATTTTAAAGTTCAATTTGCGTTCTTGGCTTCAGAAGTAAGACAGATATCAAAATATTGCTTCAATAGTTGAATTGTATACATATAGATGCTTGAAGAAAATATGTATTGATATTATAGTATGAATTTAAAAAAGAAATCAAGAATAAAGTTAAAGTTTAACGTTCTCTTTGTTACTATGGGATATGTTATAATTGAAGAAATCTCTAAGACTTAGTCGCAGAAGTTAATGTTCACCTTAAATAAGGCTTCTGAAGCATCTAACTTATCAACGTTCTTCACATACACAGTAAATCAAAAAGTAATAATGAAAGTGAAGAGAAAAAAATAAAAAATTTCTCAACTCAAAGATCATGTAATCACTATGATATATATATTATATTGACTGTAAAGAACCTTTATATTATTCTCTAACATTGACCATAATGAAATAAAAGGACATGGAGGGAAAACGGGAAAAAAGAGAATTTGGTGAAGAAAAAAAAAAACTGCTTGATGAACAGATCGATGCACAAATTAACAAATACATGCATGATTAACAAGTTTGATTCAGGAATTGTGTATTACCCTTCTAGTTCAAGGGACTATTTTCATGCACAAAAGGTTATATCAGTTAAAAATGCCATCAACTCACCTTACAAGCAGCATTAATATTTGCAGAGATTTGTTTCAAAGCCTGTGCATTTTGCTCCAATAGCTCACCTGTAGGACCTCCAATTGCTGCAAAAAGCACAGTGCAAAGTTTAAAGGAGATTCTCAAACATTTGAAAGGGAAATGCAAATACGAGAGATGCCTAAAGATAATGATAAAAAGGCCTACAAGAGCTAAATCATGTATGCAAACATGAAAAAATTCAAAGATGTTAAAGGAACCAACCTTTGGAAGAGATGCCATCATCATTGTCCATCACAATCATTCCTGGAGCATATGGGGAAACATTGGGTCGAGCAGTAAAAGCAGATGATTTCGCTGCAGGATGAGAAACTTTTTCCTGGGAAAAAAAGGGTCAAAACATGAATATAAATATAAAGAAAGAACCCAGCGTTTCCAGTATAGCATAAATGCAAATATATTTTTTTGGCTTCCTTGTTGCCACATTTATTTATTTTTTTCTTGGTATTTCTTTTAGCCAACATGTTAAATTGTTCCTTATTTAATAAGTCATAAAATCGAGGAAAGAGAAATGTCATGCTAGCTTTTTCCTGGTTAGAACATTTGACAAATATGATGCTTGGTCTATTTCAAAAGCAAAATAATAATAATAACTAGCATGATGAAATTCTCCGGCGAAATAATATAGCTTTCCCTCAATTGAATGTGTGATTATATGTGGGCTTAAAAGTAGGGTTGCCAGTGTTAATGCATGAACAAGCAAGAAAAAAAAAATAGAGAGAGAGTATTGAATCCACATAAAAATTAAGGTCTAGACATCAACATATGCATAGGGCAGTGAAAGACATTAAAAAACACATCTCCAATGGCATGCACAAGAGTGAAACACAAAACACTCACTCAGTTAATAAATGAAAACAATACCTTTTTAGCTTTGCTTTTCCTTGTCAAAATATGACCTTCCTTCCTTGTCTTGCCATTTTCTTTTTTCTGTATAGAAATGCTGTTGGGTCCTCTTTGGAACTTGAAAACAAAATATTAAATATTTGTGATATAGGTTATCCGATGTCTAAGAATCTTATCCAAGCTTAAGAACAGGTTAAATCATTCACTAATGACATAAAGGACTTTAAGACAAAAATGAACAGGTATATACGTAGCTTACATCCATCCACTTGACTGGCTGTGATTCTTCCCGCATCCACTTGTCTCGCAGTATTACTTCCCGGACAGTCTTATTAGGCAACTGATTTGCTATGAGATTATAGCGTCTTGGCATGGAAGGCACTGATGCAAACCTACAAAGAAAAAATTGGAATTTTCTTTACAATAAGAAGTAAATATAGGACTTATCAAATACACGTTCCTAGTTAGGGAACCGCTGCAAATAACAAAACAATATGATAACAATGAATTCGGAGTAAAATATAGGCACATAATTCCATAAAAGCTTGTGCATGCAAGCAACGAATTAAATATACATACTGACTGACAACGATATTTGATTTCAAACTGCACTAGCAACCACTATAAGTTGGTTCTAAGAGATAAACTCAATAAAATACAATAATAATAAAAAACAACAGCCAGTTTCTCTCAAATTAAAAGCATAACTTTTTTTTTTTTGGATTACATTAAAAGCATAACTTGTTCCCCACAGGTTTCAATTAGTACGGCCTTTTAAGGCTCATGCAGTATCTGAAAAACCAAACAAAACCTCACCAAAACCAATATAATATGGATACAAACACGTTCTCAATTTCCAAAAATTAAAGTTCAAAGTTTAAAGAAAATCAAAGCCGAACATTAATTGTCGCACTTGATAAATCGATATCAAAATAAACAACAAAAAAAAGTTAGAAGTCTAACTCAAATTTCCTTCCTACACCACGTACGAAGATAGAAGCATCTAGAGTATGTGTGTGAATTGTATTCTTATCATGATGAGTTGTACATCTTATCTTCACCAACCAAACAAGTAGCTTCATGAAGCCTAATCTAGTAATCTACGAGTGAAAAGAAAGAAAGTTTGTAAAGAGTGTGAGAAATATTAATGCTATATGAAATAAAGAGTTTTTCATATTTATCTTGACTTTATATATTAAGCAACCTAAAACCTAAAACCTAAATTCTAAACCCTAAATCCTAAAACTCTAAAACCCTAAAACTCTAAAACCCTAACCCTCACATTAAACCCTAAACTCTAAAACCCTAAAACCCTAACCCTAGCATAAAACAATAAAACTTAAACTCTAAACCCTAAACCCTAGCAATGTACTTGTGACAGTAGGACCATTTTAGGCTAAGTTTTTGGCATGTGTCCTCCTCTTATCCCAAAAAATAAATAAAAAATAACGCATGATTGTTCCCCCCACAGGTTTAATTGGTACGGCCTTTTAAGGCTCATGCAGTATCTGGAAAACCCAAGAAAACCTCTCAAAAAACAATAAAATATGGATACAAGCACTTACGTTCTCAATCTTAGAAAATCAAAGCCAAGCATTAAGTCGCACTTGATAAATCGATATCAAAATAAAGAAAAGAAAAACTGAAGCGACTAAGCAAGAAAGAAAAGAAAAAAGAAAAATTGCTATGAATTAGCGAAAAGAATTACTTACTGAATGAGTCCTTTTTGAAAAACAGCCTGTTCTTCCAAGGTCCAATCCAGTGATATGCCAGGGTTGTGAAGAATGGCGCGCTCTGTGGCCGAATTCCGGTTGAACGATGAGACAACATGCATGGTCTGCTGCTGCTCCTGGTGGTTACCATAAGGGTATGCCATTTGAAGGGTATCTGAATTCACAATTGGTTCCCGCCAATTAACGCAAAACAGCAAAATAATTTTTTACGAATAAAAAGAGAGCGAAATTGAGAGGGGATCCTTGCAGAGTTCCCCAACCTTGCAAAGTAATTGGAATGATAAGTAAAAAATTTAGTAGTATGTAGGGATGTTAGTGCCCGTTTAGATGACCTTTTTTTTCTTAAAAAAATTGTTTTTTTTTTTAAATAAAAGTCCTTGTGAAAATATTTAGATGTTTGGATAACAACTTTTAAAAAAGCAAAATTTAAAATAAAAGTTAAAAGGTTGTTTTTTTTATAGCTAGTAGTTGGTTGCTTTGGGAAAAAGCAGAAATTAAAAGATAATATAAATATTTTTTTTTGGAAAAAAATAATATAAATTTTTAAAATACAATTTTAACCTTATCCTATCATACCTATTTTATCTCTCCTTATCCTACGATCATGCTATTTTATCTTTTTTTATTTTAACATCCAAACAGCTTTTTTATGTAAAAGTGATTTTCAAATGATACATCCAGACATAAAATAAGTTTATCTTTTAAAAAAAGTTATTTTAAAAAAAACAATGCATAAAATGTCATTTTTTTAAAGCTTATCCATTGAATGGGTTTTTATTCCTAAAAAAGTGGCTTTTTGTTTAAAAAAAAAGTCCTTTTCAGAATTTTATATGTTTAGATAGTAACTTTTTAAAAAAGTAAAATTTAAAATAAAAGTTAAAATGCTACTTATTTTTTTAGCATGAAAGCATTAAATATAACGTTTTAAAATATAATTTTAACTCCATCATATCATATCTATTTTATCTCTAGCATTAAATATGGAGAATCATAACAATATAAAAGATAAAAGCATTAAATGTGGAGAATCATAACAATACACATGTCATTATTGCACACAACAACTTTACATATGATTTTACCTTTACATGATTAGTTTTCTAAATATATTATTCTCAATTCTAGATAGTGTTGTGTTATCGGATATTAATCTTTAATAATTTCTAATTTTTTTAAAAAAAATAAATATAATATAACATGATAATACTAAGGGTTTCAAATTTCAAACTTTGTTATTATAATTTTACCCTTAAACAAAATTGACATCAAATAAAAGTTAAGATTTTAGTAAACAAAAAAATTGATTTATAAAACTTCATTATAATATTATCTAATTACTCTTATAAAAGAAGGGAAAAGTATTTGTCATTTTAAATGACATAAAGTTATGTAATTTTAAGAGAGAAATAGACACAAAATAATATTTTTTATTTAAAATTTAAATTAAAAAAATCCACTTTCTTCCCCATGATTTTTTTCTTATGTCTATCTCTCTCTTAAAATGAGACAAGTCATTTAAAATGACAAACATCAAACCCATAAAAGAATTAACTTCAGTTAAAAAGAAACTTTTTTTTTGAGATCTAAAAAGAAACTTCAAAATAGATTCAAATGGATCACTTAATAATAGATTGAAGTAAGTAAAATGTACAACTATGACTAGCTAAAACAAAATGAGATAATTATGAAGTGAAAATTTTTTTCTGACCTCACATCATTGATGTACGAGATCTGAATTGCTAATAGCTAGAATCAATGTTGTTAAAATCGAGATTTTAAATAAAATTGGGAGGGGATTAAAAAATCATAAAGTGTTAAATCGTAATGTAAAAAAATCGTAAAAACATAAAAGCGTTTGGAATATTGGTAAAATTGTTTTGATGAAAAAAAATAGTAAAAATATAAAATCGTAGTGATAAATCGAGATTTTAACAACTATGTCGAGAATCACATCATTGAAGAGATCCAGCATTTCACTACACCACAAGGTTGCGTGGTTGGTTATCTAGTTCAATCCAGCATTGCAAATACTTCAAATCGTTCAAGTTCAATCCCATCTTGAAAATAGGAAGTTCTCTTTACCTGCTTGTTAATTGGCGCAACAACATCATGTGGGAAATGGCTTTGGTATGATTTGGTTACCAATACAAGAGTTTCCCGTGAAGGCACTAACTTTTAAAAAGAAATGATACTACCAAATTTTTATACTATTTTCTTTCTTTTATTTAACTTTTTTTCTAATTCAATAATAATTGGAAAGATAGTAGAAAAATTTGGTAGCATGTAGGGGTGTAAGTAGGGGTGATAAACGAACTAGGGGCCTTTCTGGGCCTTTGGCTCAGCTCGTGAAGGCCTGAGCTTACATGTCTAAAATTGGTTGTTGGAAACAAGCTTGGACCTGTATAAAAATTCATTTAATAAAAAGGCATCAGGCTACAATTCAAAAGCCCGGCCTTAGAGCCTCTCTAGAATATGAATTTTTATTTTAAATTTTTTATACTACATATAATAGCCTTCTCTCTCCTCAATCCATTTAACCCATTTTTTTGGTTAGATAGACTTTTTGAATGATTTTGTTCTATATTATGTTATTTAGATATACATTAAATTTATGAAATTACTAGTGTTGTTGATTATATATTCTTTTGGATAAATTTTTGTTGTCTTATTTTTTATAAACAGGCTAACAGGCTAAATCAGACTTTTATTTTTTTGTAAATAAGTCAAGTAACAGGCCGATAATTATATTCATAACAGGTAACAAGCTTGGTCAGGCTAACATATTTAAACACGGACTTAGCCTTTTAAGACCAAAACTCGGCTCGGCTCGGCCCGTTAACACCCCTAGTGTAAGTATCTATTTGGATGAGTTTTTATTCCTAAAAAGATTGTTTTTTTTAAAAAAAAAGAAGAAGTCATTTTGAGAATTTTTAGATAGTTAGATAACAACTTTTTAAAAAAGCAATATTTAAAATAAAAGTTAAAATATTGCTTTTTTAACCCAGTAGTTAGGTCCCGTTTCGATGAGCTTATAAAAAAATGACTTTTTTTGCATTGCTTTTTTTAAAAGGTAAAGTTATTTTATGTTTGGATGTATGATCTGAAAATCACTTTTATATAAAAAAAAAGTTGTTTGGATGTTAAAATAAAAAAACATTTTTTTTTTTTGTAAATAAAAAAAAACATTTTTTATATATAAAATTACAATAAAAAGAGATAAAATAGCATGATCGTGGGATAAGGAGAGATAAAATAGGTATGATAGGATAAGGTCAAAATTGTATTTTAAAAATTTATATTATCTTTTTTCCAAAAAAAAAATTTATATTACCTTTTAATTTTTTCTTTTTTCAAAAGCAACCAACTATTGGCTATAAAAAAAAAGAAACAATTTAACTTTTATTTTAAATTTTGCTTTTTTAAAAAGTTGTTCCAAACATCTAAAAATTCTCAAAATGACTTTTATTTAAAAAAAACAACTTTTTTAGGAATAAAAGCTCATCTAAACGGGCACTTAGTTACTTTAAAAAAAGCCGAAACTAAAAGATAATATAAATTTTTAAAATATAATTTTAATTTCATCATATCATATCTATTTTATCTCTAGCATTAAATATGGAGAATCATAATCATAAAAAAGTTAAAATTATTAAATGTGGAGAATCATAACCATACACCTATATTGCACGTACATTCTACCTTTACATAATTAGTTTTCTAATATATTATTCTCAATTATAGATAGTGCTGTGTTATCGGATATTAATCTTTAATAATATTTAATTTTTAAAAAAAATAAATATAATATAGCATTCAAACTTTGTTATTATAATTTTACCCTAACACAAAATTGACATCAAATAAAAGTTAAGATTTTAGTAAACAAAAAAATTGATTTCTAAAAACTTCATTATAATATGATCTAATTACTCTTATAAAAGAATTAACCTCAGTTAAAAAGAAACTTTTTTCTTTGGAGATCGAAAAAGAAACTTCAAAATAGATTCAAATGGATCACTTAATAGATTGAAGTAATTAAACTGTACAACTATGACTAGCTAAAACAATATGAGATAATTATGAAGTGAAAAAAAAAAAAGTTTTACCTCACATCATTGATGGACGATCGCGAGATCTGATTTGCTAATAGCTAGAATCACATCATTGAAGAGATCCAGCATTTCACTACACCACAAGGTTGCATGGTTGGTTATCTAGTTCAATCCAGCATTGCAAATACTTCGCATCGTTCAAGTTCAATCCCATCTTGAAAATAGGAAGTTCTCTTTACCTGCTTGTTAATTGGCGCAACAACATCATGTGGGAAATGGCTTTGGTATGATTTGGTTACCAATACAAGAAGCATTATTCGCAGCAAAGGAAACAATATCAATAATGACTTTGGTATGATTTTTTTCGTATGAACTTTCACCTTCCATTGTGAAAAGTTTTAAGGTGTTTAGGCTGGATTACCCATTATTTATGGGGGAAATGACTTACTTCTTGAGTATTCCTATAAATATTGTTCTTTTGATTTAGTGATTAGGAAGAATATCTCATGAGATTTTATCCCTTTATCATACAATAGACTATTTTCAAGTACTTGAAAAAGCAAGGGCCATTAGAAGGAATATAAGATAATAACTATTTTGTTGGCTCATATAAGTTAGAAGCTAGTCAAGCCAACTTGCAAGTAATTTGCGACTAGATTCATTTTATAAATCAACATCAAGCTAGATGCAATTTTCGAAAAACAGTAAGAGTAGGGTCTATTTTTTTAGTTGTAAAATTTGAATTAAAAGTGAAAATAATTGAGGTTATTAAGGATTTTTTTAATTGTTTTGTATTTTTTATGTGGGAACTACAATCCCATATATTCCCAATCCCTATTTTTAAGCGGTGTTGTATTTTTAATTAGTTTTGGTGTGGTTTGTTAAGCTCAAAGTCTTATCTCGGATCAATCAGCCTGGTTAAGGCTATTAATCCTTTAATAATTAACAAATAATTAAAATACGATTGTTTTATTATTCAAAATTATTAAAATAATAATATTTTTTTTGATAAGCAATTTATTTTTTACTTAAAATAAATAATATGATATGAGCTCTCTGTAGCTTTATAGGCCTAGTATGTAAAAGAAAAT